GGCATTGAAGCACGCAAGTCTTAAAGCTGTCAAGTTACAAGACCCTTGCACGCCTAATCCTTTAGAAAAAAAACCCCAGGGATGTTCAAACTTGAAAGCTTTAAGACTTGTGGACTTCAATTCCCACAATTCCTCCTCCAATCATGTTGGCTCAGAAACTCTGGCATTGAAGCACGCAAGTCTTAAAGCCGTCAAGTTACAAGACCCTTGCACGCCTAATCCTTTAGAAAAAAAACCCCAGGGATGTTCAAACTTGAAAGCTTTAAGACTTGTGGACTTCAATTCCCACAATTCCTCCTCCAATCATGTTGGCTCAGAAACTCTGGCATTGAAGCACGCAAGTCTTAAAGCCGTCAAGTTACAAGACCCTTGCACGCCTAATCCTTTAGAAAAAAAACCCCAGGGATGTTCAAACTTGACAACTTTAAGACTTTAAGGTTTAGATAGGACTCTTAGAGGTGGGTGGGGCAATTGGTGAGCCAGCCAATGAGTGAGCAGCCAGCAAGGCAAGCATGGTGCGGATGGGCGGTAGGAGGGAGCTGGAACCGGTTCTAAATGGCACGGTAGATTTGTGGAACCTCTTCTATAGAAGAGGTTAGAACTGGCAGGAACCCACCCCTGGCGTGGCATCAAAAAGGAGGCTACATAGGACGTTTTGGAGCCGAGGAGAATCGGTCCAAACCGGCTGAATACACCTCTGGGTGGCAGTTTTCTGCTACCGGTTTGAGTGAACCAGTCCGAATGGGCTGAATACCACCTCTGAGTGGCAGCCGTTTGTGAACAGGTGAACCTCCTCTGATGATGTCCATGTTGGGAAAGTGTCCATGAGATGTTCACAGTATTCCTACCAGATCACTGGCTCTGAAATATTGTCTCACCTGCTTAGGGTTTCTTGGTTTAAAAGCAAATTGTGGGGTTAGGGATCTTTCAGAGACTCGAAGAGCTGCTGATAGTTGGAGTTGATAATGTTACACAACTTAATTTATCCTAATATAAGGCAGTTCTCAACAAGATACTTTTGCTAACAGTTGCAGAATTGTGAAGAAATGTAGCAAATAAAACTATATTAAGATGCAGCCTTCAAAATGTTTAATCTGCTAAAGGTCAATCTATTGGGCTACCGTGATAGGTACAGAGACAGTAGAACAGTTACCAACCTTTATAATATAAGCTGTGAATCTCAACAAAAGTAAGGTTGATAAATTTTATCAATGAAGCTGAGCATGGCTGAAGGCTACATGCCGAATTCCCCAAATAATCGGGAGATGTTTATTTTAGACTCCTTTCTAGAGTCATTTTGAACCAGAGGAGGCCATCTAACAGATTGAAAAGCAACCAGGACCACTGATCTTATTCTGTACCCATGCATTAATCTTCTGTTGTACCGAAGGGGTGGAACTTTATCATACAAGCTGAGTATGCCACTTGTTCGCATTTGGCAATCCCTTGTTACACAGAAGGAACAAAGAAAAAAACAAACAAACAAAAAGCAAAAGTAGTCACGCTTGAAATCGAGTGCGAGAAAAAAAAAAAAAAATAATAGAAAGGATGAGATTTCCTAATAAGAATTATTATGTAGGGGCACCCAACTAACCAGTTCCTTGGTGTTCTGCGTTGAACTTTAAAACAAATTATATATGAAGAAAAGATGCATTCTAATATCTCCTGTATCTACATCTTTCCATCATCTGCCTGCCTGCCTGCCTGCCTGCCTGCCTGCCTGCCTGCCTGCCTGCCTGC